GTACATTATCTGCATGTACAGCTTGTCAAATCTAGGAAGAGAATTAGGAAATATATCTCTCTCACTGTCACTGTCTTCTAACGAATGCAGGTCTAGTGGGCGGAGCCATAACGGAATTCAGAAAACTCTTCCTACATTTGACAAGCTTTAACTCCAACAGTTATACAGCGCACGCCAAGATAGCTCTCACGGATCAAGAATTTTTCTGACTTACTTAATACTTATCGTTATATCATGACCAAAATTACACAGAACCTTTGTAAATCGTAGCTTATATGTTATTTTGATGTAAAAGCTGTATTTATGTCAAGTTTCATCTAAATCCGTTCAGTCGTTTAGGTGTGAAAGAGACACCAACATACATACATCCATCCTCACAAACTTTCACTTTTGTAATAGTATAGATGTAGAGGTGATAACATCTCCCTTTACGAAGATGCCATCTATGGGATCGACAGAAGGCCCAATCCACGAATATCTCAAAAATGAAGGTGGTTCCCCAAGATGATGAGTTGCAAAGCAAAGATTCAAGATCTACCAGCAAACGAGTTATCGCAGCTTTAACTGCAAGGCAAGTGTATGAAAATAGAGCCCAAAAACAAAGTAATCGTAATCCTACACCAAACGATCACATAGATAGCGTCTTCATTAGGGAACGTGTCTTCGTCTCTATTTACTCGGTCTTGTCTGTCAGGGACAGTTGACTTCAGCAATGCATTTGTGGCATCATCTTGTTTGTATATGTTCGTTACGAACACAACGAGAGCATAATTGAGGAGTTATTGTTCTGAATGCCTCCGTACATTACAGGTAAACCAATATTCAAGTATTAATTTTACATCCACTCATAAAATTATGCGAAATAAATATGTGGCAGTTAAGACTGATGGAGCCCAGACTATGTCTGGTTCACGAGTAAAATTTCAATGGCATGTGAAAAATATTAATCCATCTATTATCCGGCATCATTGCTTCACTCATAGGGAAACGTTAGCTGCTGAAAAAATGCCAGAAAAATCAAAAACAGTGTTGCTGGTCGACATAGTTCAATATGGAATTTCATTAAAGCTGAGATCTGAGTTCCGTATTTTTGTAATCTGTCTGTCTATCTTTCTGTTTTCTTTGAAAAATATAATTTGAAAGAATCCCCTTTATCAAGTTTTTGGGTAGAAATAAAGTAATATCATAAGGATATATCAGAAGAAGCACCGAAACATTTACCGCTATTCTCAACCACATACAACTATAAAAAGACATCCTCTACTGTCTAATATACTGAAAACATTTTTTCGACTTTATTTTTTCATTTGTGATACCAAAGTGAATTATCCGAAATTTATTAGTGTTTTTCTTGTCAAGGGAGTCCTTGAAAATTTTGCTTTTTTTCCCAGCTGCCTAAAAAAAAGTCGAGAAAGGCTGAAATGGAACAGTAAAACTTTTCCCATTATTGAAATACAGCTTCTGAAAATCAATCCCAGCATTTCTTTTGCTGTTGATACAATTTTGTGAGTTGAAAAGCTTAAATTGATTCAACTCGTTATGTTTGAATGAATAACTGTAATCCACAAATTTGGTTTTCAATGTATAACTGAAATAATGACACTTCTGTATGTTGAGGGATAATTCAAATCTTTCACACCAATCTGTTGAACAGTCTTTATCATTCTGTAGTAGTTCGCAATTGAAGAATGTTGCTAGTACATTTTCAATGTCACTGAAATAGCAGCGAGAAGAGAAGTGGAGTTAAATTACTTTCCTGTGGAACGCCACTATTAAAATAAAAATCATGCCATATGGCCTAGATATTTCAAATATTGACAGCGATTACTGAGATACAATTCAAAGAAGTGCAATAGATTTGTGTTTGGAACCAAGATGATCTAATTTTGTTGGCAATATATCGTGATCCAATGGAAAAATCTATGTATATGGTGCTTATACCACAAATATTACAATACTTTTTTATATAACAGCAGGAAATGACAGAACTTATTAGATAAATGATTAATTTTGGCATAGAGAAAATAAAGAACAAAAATTAAACTTGGAAGTCAATAAATGCAAAAAATAATTTTTTCAAATGACTAACAGGAAGTTATTCATTCACCATTATTGAACTTGTTCTCATAAAATGTTAATAATTAACATGTTTAGAAATAATATTGTATTAATTGTGCTCTAAATCTACCTGTTTTGCTAAAATTCATCATTTATCTAATTCAATTTTGACATAAAATGTCAATATTCTGTTTTCCTAGAAGTTGTATTGTATCCAATTGTTTTTTAAATCTGCATGGTTAACTAGATTTTATCATTTATATGATAAGTTTTGTTATTACCTATTGTTATATACAATATATTGTAGAATAGTTTAATGTACCAGTAAGTTTTAAGCTACCATGTATAAAAACATGTTTTAAATATTTTTCAACGGAATGTCTTGTAAAAAACTTTCCATTCTTTGAAAATGTTGCAAAAAATGTGGGTTTCACATAACTGATTGGTTAGGTTAGGTCAAAAGTGAGTGGGTTTATTCGACCCTCCACCGCAACCCGCAAGGGTTTATTGTGGCTCACACTTATTTACACTCGACCAATCGAACCCAGCTTTTTAACAAAGCCAATTAGTTTGTACGGTGAGTGGTCTTTCAGGTCAGATGGTAAGAATATGGCTCTGCCGAACTCTAAAAACCTGATTCGGTCCCCAGCAGGGCAGGCACAAAGTATGTGCTCTGCTGTTTCATCATTTTCCAAGCAGAGGCGACAAACACTGTTTTCCGACAGACAGAGTCTCTGCATATGATGATTCAAATGACAGTGAATTGTGAGAAGGCCTTAGACATCATAGTTCATCCCTACTTAGTCCAACAATTGTTTGGTATCAAGCTTCAAAGGGTGAATACACGCCTTGGAGTGAGCCAATCATAACTGGTTGACTTCAGATTTTCCTACTGGTGATTCAACTGAAGCAATTTCATGTACCTCAAATACCTCTGCACACATTTTCTATTTCTATAGAAAACAGGGGTAGTAATGCATACACTTTTGTGTACAAACTTTCATTTTTTTTGTAAAATTGAATGTTTCAGTTCACATTTATCAAGCAAAGAGTAAACACCTATTTTGCTCCTGCTAGTTAGTACATGTGATTATATAGAACTAAACTATGGATATCAAAACAGAGGAATATTATAGTGAAATGGAAATTCAGGATGATGGACAATGGAGAAAAGTGATGCATAAACAAAAACCAATAAGACGCCTGGAAAGTGCCTCCAAACGAAGTCATCTAAATCCAGAAGAAATCCAACGAATTATGTTGGGTTCACCCAACTGTACTAATTCCAATCCCTCAACATCCATGAAAACAACAGATAATAGAATTCATTCCAATCCAAAAAACCAACAATACAAAAACTTCTCACCATTGATGAAAGAAATTACCCATAAAAAATACCAGCACACTTTCTTTTCTATCTGCAGATACAGGGTATTTCCAGAACATGTAACATGCGGGAAAAACTATTTCCTCAGGTTACTGATGAAATAATTAGAACACAGAAAGGATTCATTCTCAAAACAAATAATGATTTGAAGATAGTTACAGATACTCTTGAAAGACTTGTATTGTTCAAGAAGATAAGCAATTTCAGATAAACTCAACCTAATTCTACAGCCCCCAAATCAGCCTCACAAACAGAAAGCTACTTTGTTGTTATATGTGGCATAGAACGAAGAAAATATAAGCAACCATCTGAATAACAACGAACTTGAGCACAGATTTTGCAGAACAATCATCTCCAGACAAACCGGATTACCAACATCACTTATAAGAATCATCAGTGGATCACTCACTACATTTGAAACCCTACTGAAAGATGGATTCTAATACAAACTTCGATACTATCCAGTTTATGCAAGTAAACTTCCCCCTCCAACTCTAAAACCTTGCAACAAATGCCTTTCCTCCTCTCATTCAACAGAAACCTGTAACACCCAATCAAAATGTCCCAAATGCCGGGGTTTACATCCAGAGAACCAGTGTATCTCCACCTTATCACCGAAATGTTCAGGATGTGGTTCCAAGGAACATCAAATGTGGTCATTTAAATGCCCGATGAGACCCACCGCACCGATTCCAAGTGTACCTAATATACAAATTAAATCTATCAACAAAAAAATCTCATGAAATACTAGAAGACAAGAAAAACTGCAGAATTCATCAAGCCCTACCAGTTCATGACTTAATCATCAACTCATATGTCAATGAACTGAACAACCCGATAAACACTAATAGACAGAACTAAATGAAACAGATTTGTAAACAATTTCAATGTAGATACCACAGCTGTCTTTTCTGGTCACCGTGTTTACCAATCTTGGATCTGAAGGCTCCATCTCTCCAACAGAACCAATCAACAATAATACCCAGCACATCCAAAATAGTTAATCTGCTATATTGCAACATAAACAGCTAATCATACAGAAAACACATCATTTTCAACTATATTGAGAATGATAATATTGATTACTCATTGTTTGTGAAAGCAAAGACCAAAGATGACTCAAACACATCATACAGAGACTGGTCAGTTATAAAGCTATATAGTAATCAATTACATAACCGGACCAGAGGGGGTACTCTAGTCGAAACACATCCCCGACTAAAAGCCAGACGCGCGAATCCTCCAGCCATAAACAATCATTTAAATGAATGCATACTCTTCACAATCCCCTTCTTAGATGATAAACTGCACATTTTTTTAGTGTACATACATCCATCAGCTCGTATTGAAGAGGCCATTTTTAAAAAAGCATGTCTCTATAAATATGATATCATTATCGGAGATTTCAATGTCAACAATAGGATGAAGAAGAGACTGCTCAATATCTTCCTGGAAAATATTCCTTTTCAAAAATGGGAAACTCCTCCAACATTTATTATGCCAAACAACAGCGAGACAACTCCAGATGTATTCAAATATAACACTATATCAAATATTATAGATGCCACATTCGGAACACTGACAAATACAGTAAATGATCACTCATTACACCATCTGTAAGTTCACGCCTTCTCTCAGTAGCATTACTTCTTAAATTTGCTTGTGCTGGTAATTGAAAGGGATCTCTAAAAAGTTATGGTATTATGATTATGATTGTATAATTTATAATCTTACTTATGTGTCATGGATGCAGTTAAAGTTAAAATAGGTTCGATGCATCTGAATATTACAGAATAAATCAACATTTTTCCCAGATGAGGTTCTATTGTTAATTTGGCCAAATATCCACCAAGTATTGTCAGATCCTCCTCTTTGTTAAGTGCGCCAAGAAACTGTAGATTCTCTATCGCCACCTTGATCGAATTAGCAGAAGGTGGATCAGGGGCCATCATCAGGAAATTATGAATATTCATTCCCTCAGGGGCTAAAACTTTTGTATGTAAGCATAATTCCTGAAAAGTAGAAAGTCAAAATTAATTTCATTTGATGTGACAATGTCAGTAGGCGGGTGCTGGGGTGCGAGTGTGAGTTTACGTGCGTGTGTATTATAAAAAACTACTATAAATATTGTACTGTTTGAGATTATTGGTGAAACTGTTAGTATCATTAACCACGAACATGTCAAATGAAGATCAGTTAAATTAATGAAACTAATAAAGCGCGCACGGAAGCATGCGCACGCAAGCACGAGCACGCAAGCACGAACACGCAAGCACGAACACGCAAGCACGAGCACGCAAGCACACACACACGCACGAACACACCACACACATACAGTAAACATTGTTAAAAATAAAAGGTTATCTTTCAAACAAACTGTAAGTCAATAAACACTTGCTAAATATTATCAAGGAGTCATATAGAATTCTCGGATTTGTTATGTGGAATTGGAAATATTTCAAAATAAATGCAATTGTTACATTAGATCGAAAGTAAGTGAAGCATTGAGAGTTTATGGCTTTGTAGTTAGCAATTGTAGATCTTTTTTAAATATATCTGCTCTAATTACTCTTTATGTAGCTTATTTAGTGTTAAAATTAGAATATGGCTCTGGTCTATGGTCTCCATTCTACAACTGTTTAAAATCTGTTTTCCGTTCCCCATACAAACAACTCTCAGAAGTTGGGAAACTTGTGGGAGTTAAGGACTAACAAGGTCTCAACTTTTAACGTGTGATTCCTAACACGGTTGCAGAATCATCCCAGCTTCAACCAGATAAATTCTCTCGAGAAAAATATCTGGTCGAGGCGGGAATCAAACCCACGTTTTTCTGATCGTGAGTCGGGCGCACCAGTGCCAGGCGCACTACCACCGCGGCCAATACCACAACACAACTGCTGTAATACATTAATTAAAAAAGTTTAATGTCGTTTTCTTAAGTTTATTCACTTCAAATCTTATGGTATCTATCCTGATAGCGGTATTCCATATGAATCTCTTACCATAACATTCAATATTGAAACTCTCTTGAATTACGCAGAAAACTTGCTGGAATAATTTTTCTGTATAAATTACTGCACAACAATATGGATGATATGGAGGTGTTATCTTTTATAAATTTCTGTGTGCCTTATTTTAGAACTAGAAGTACACAAATTTTTCACAGCCGACTGGCCAGAACCAATTTGTATCTCAAGTCACCTATCTTTAGCANATCACTTGGTGATTGAAACATGTGTCGAGGTGTTAAAAATAACAGTTTGGTGTTGGGATGAAACTCCAGTAACATTCAATATGTAAAATTTCTGTTGCAGGTTATCAAATCCTTTATAGAATATCGATTTTATTGAGTTTGCCCCAATTAGGGAGATGAAACGTATTATTTTCTCTAGTAGTATAGTTGTGTATTTAGGAGTTAATAGAGTATTCATATTACTATATCATAATAATCAAGTTACTTACTTCAAGAGAAACTCGAAGAATTTCAGGGATTTTTTCCTCATCCATGTTCTCGTATCTCTGTTTCGAATATAACCTGAAACACATTCCCGGCTGAGTTCGTCCAGCTCTACCCATTCGTTGCTTGGCACAAGCTTGGGATATCCAGCGTGTTTGCAAAGATGATACTTTATTATACTGAAAATAAAACGAATTGTCAAATTCAAACATCTAACTTCAAGTGAATATTCTAAAGTGTATTATGAAAATGCCTATTATCTACCTGAATAACATCCAACATTTTTCATCGCATGTAAATGTATCCAAAAAAATAAATAGAGTTTATTCTATGATTTTCACTATAACACTATTATAGTGAAAATCATAGAATAAACTCTATTTATTAGTTTTTTGAATATGGATTTTCATCAAGTATCGGCCAGTTCTATTCAAAATGTTTCAAAATATCGGCCAGTTCTATTCAATTGTAAATGTATCTATTTTTCCAGGTAATTTGGAGTTGATAATGGAAATCTGAATGAAGCTATTTATAAAATGAATAGAAATTTGAAGAATATCAATTTTTCTCAATAATCATCATAGTCCAAGGATTGGTACTTAAGCTATGGGTTCTGGGGTATTGACCTTATTCTACAATAATCAAAGTAAAGGCAATTACATCTCCCTTCACGAAGACGACCTCTATGGCCATCTCAACCTCACTGTAGCTTTCACTGCAAGGCAACTAGTTGAAACCAGATCCCAAGAACAAAGCATTCGTTATACAACACCAGAGAGAGGTTTCGTTTTCGCCATGGATCTTGTCAGTGATGCTAAACTGACCGAGAAACTAAAGGCATTGTCATCTTTTTTTATGATAACGACATATATGTGAAATACAGTTATACTTTCACACATTATA